CTTTTATTGTCTTCAAACAGAGACACTGATTACTTAAATACTCTTCTTTAGTTGATCAGATATCACATAATTATCTTCTTTTGTTGTTTTCTACGGAAGCCAAAAGTGGACATTATACATCCATACTCTTTAATGTACTCCAGCGTCCCATGTGAGAAAAAGTTAATTTCCAGTTCTCTCGACATCTCGACTTTTAACATGTTGTTGTTTTAGGATAATGATGCTGCTTTTTCTGTGATAATGAGTTGATTACTAGATCTCGAGAACCAACTGAAATAAACTCAGGAAAACTAAGCATCGTTATGCCGGGATAATGTGATAAATAAGTTCAGTTTAATAAATACAAAACCGGAGATGTGCTCTTTATCAAAGGAAAACAATTAAATTAGAATATATGACTGTATGTCCTCTTTGGGCTTCCGTAGTTTCCATTATTGTTTTGTTTTTTATGATTTTAACAAACATAGCTTATTTATTCAATAATCTGCTCTTTATACGTTTCTTATTTTTCCTTAACATGCGCTCAGAACATCTTCAAAACGTATTCACATTCCTTATTTCATTCATATTTTATTTATATGACAATATTTCCTACAGCTACATTGTGTTAAAGAGAGACTGTTACAACTGAATTTCAAATGAATAAAGTATTTCTGATTCTGATCACGATTGCTTCCAAATGTGTTTCAATATTCACACTCTTTATTTAATCTTTCAAAAAGTTGTTTCACATATCTTTTACATTACAGAGGATACACTCAGCACCCCCTACAGGCACGGAGTACTTTCATTTCGATGGCTGGTTTGACCGTTTTATTTCCCCTTTGCTGTTGTTTTCACAGTTCAACCTTGCATTATTTATGCATGTGCAGCACATTTGCTTGCATTTAAAGGCAGGGGTCTGTCATTCTGTAAAACTGGCATGATTTGAAAAGTACCTTCTCTGTCTAATCCCAACCCCTCCCCTGCTTAAAACGCCACACCCCCAACACACACACATGCAAGCACCGCAGGATTACAGAGCGGAGAGAGGACCTCAGCTCATCGCTTTCAACTTTGTTTACCTTGGGTCGTGTCTCATTCAGCGGTATGAAAACAGCTACAGTATCACACTGAATGTAAAAAAACAACAACAAACAGACAGCAACCATGGCGTCGCTTTTCAAACCGTTCAACTCCTTCAGTTGTCGCCATCTCTGAAAACTTCATGAAAGTTTACTCTGGTTCATTCTCTGCTTCTGTCTTTCTTTTCTTGTCCTGGTTACCGGGGGTCAGGGTGAAGGTTAAGACTGTGTCAGTGGTCATTTGAGCTGAACTTTCTCTGCCATCCTCCGGTAGACGTGGAATATCTTTGGCGGTGGTGAAGCGCTTTGAGTGCAGGTTGGCGCACAGGAAGCCATTTGACCTTACCACACCTCCCACTCCGACCTCATGGCAGTGAGAGGTCGGAGTTTTTGCAGGATTACACCGTTAAGAGGTGACCACTTTTTTTCAGGGCAAAGGATCTATCGATTGCTGTAAATATAATTTAAACAAAAAATAAAAAATATACTGTATATTGAAATAAAATGACCAACCGTACCTTTAATTGATCCAGCTTTTTGCAGCACATTCTTTAATTTGCATCTTGTTTCCTTTAATGGATTCGTTTTGGACTTTTGCTTCATGAATTTGCAGCCTGTACCTCCAGGTGTAAATCATTTTGGCTATTGCATGTTTTAAGCACCCTTAAAATGTCTGTGGAGAAGTTGCTGTCCCCCCCCCCCACACACACACACACACACACACACTTAGAAATAAGATAATCAACTTTTAAAAGTATTTTTCTGTGTTTTAAAAAGGCAACCTTTGTTGCTGTGTTTTACGTTCCATCTCTGTACAGTTTTATCCTGAACATAGCTTTTATCTTTTATAGTTCTTTGACTTTTTGCACAAACATTTAATGTGTTATATAGATGATTATTAACTCTCTGACAGTAGGCATATTTATATATAACATCACTCTTGTTATATTTATGTCTTGTAGGGGCGTTTCCAGAGGGGTGGCCAGGGGTGGCATGGACCCCCCCCCCCCTTGAAATCTTATTGACCATCCCCGGAGCCACTCCAAATTTATTGGTCATTATATTATTGGCCAGTATTATTGGTAATTGTTCTTGCCAGAGGGGGGACCTATACGTTTAAATACATCATTCAGGCAGCAGATGTTTGTTTGTCTTGTGTCAATTATTTTTTCATTCTCTCAATAATAATTATTGTATCCAAAATAGATTTCCCCACCCAAAATGATGTTAGCTAACCCCAAAGTGCCTGTACAGCAACATTTTAACAGCTCTGTGTGTTCTTGATTTGTCACATTCCTTGTCTGTAAAATGTAAAATGCCAATTGAATAAAATACAAGAAGGACAGGTTACATGTTCTGTACAAACACAGCTCATAACTCCAGGCTCAGGAGATTTATTGAAAAGAGTAAAACCATCGTCTGGATGGCATACTTTGAATATCTAAAGCTCTATAGCTAGTTCTTTGCATATACCAGCATCAGTATACCTACACTGTAAAACACTGTACTCATACCTCTAGATCACTGCTTCTCTTCACTCTTGTTTTATACTCTCTAATTTTCTTTATTTACTTTATGCACCACAATAGCTAAACACCTTTCAAACCCACTTGGCAATAAATCTGTCCTATAGTGCAACTTTACAGCGTTCGGCCCTCAAAATAAGGCTGGCAGAGACCGGGGACCCCCTCTAGCCCCGGAGGTGATGAAGGAATATAACATAGCAAACAACCATGCACAGCCCGATCCAAACAGAAAATAATTTAACAGCCTAAAAACCATAAAATTATTTATAAAGCAGGTTATTGTAAGAAAGATATAGAAGCAAAATACAAGAAAACTCCATGTAAAGACTTGAGCACTGAATGGACACACAGGTGAGTTCATCTTTAAAAAGAGCAGCTGACACCTGTGTTGTTGCCTTCATGTGCAAACTTACAATTCAAATATTTTTACATGTGAATTTCATTTGCATTTCACATGATTAAAAGGTTTTATGTATATTTTTACACAGAAATACACAGAATTCAATTATTTTACAATTTACTCATTTTTTGTTTTTTTACTCATTTTACTTATTTAAGGCACCCTGTGACCCCCCTCTTGGAGGCTTCTGACCCCCCCCCCCCAGTGGGTCTTGACCCCCACTTTGGGAACTACTGCTATAGTGCATCCTTTTTTTATTATAACAAACATCTAGAACTTTATTTTACTTCTTTATTACAGGAGGCGATGACGGCTCGAATGAAGGTTTTGTTTTCCTCTTTCCTCTGTGTTCTCATCATCTGTGATGTAAAGTGAATTTCCTGGACTGTCTTTGCTCCTCCGTGTTTAAATCAAGCAGGGCCATCTTCTTTATTACATCAACTAAAGCATGTGTTGATTTGGCTGATGTGTTGTCTTTATGGCTGACCTATAGCAGTATATCTCGGGGCCAAATAGTTGCTAAAACAAGACAAACTACATGACAAATTCTAAACATATAATCCCTCTCATAGTTAGAGGTGATGGGGCTTGGTTACAGGATAAATCTTGACTAAACCCAGTGATGTGACCTATTTTTATTGTCTGCATTTACCTGCATTCACATTGGTCAAGTGACCTCGGTTTGTAATGAAAGATACATCCGGGAGAAGACTCAGAGTAACTTACGTGGATTTAAAATCGGAAAACTTACAATTCCCAGTCACCACCATGGACAAAAATAAATCAATTTTTGGGTTTTTTCTGTAAAGCCTATTACATACGGTTGGTGTATGGAACAAATACCATGAAGAAGTGCACATTCTTAATTAAAAGGTGGAAAAACTTCAATTTCCAACCACATCTATGCACCATGAACAAAAGCAAGAGCATTTCTGATTTTGTTCACCGTTGTCCAAAAATATTCTGTATTTGATATCACTGTCACGTTTGGAGCTATTTTCTGTGCTGGATGAAATGTTCTTTTTGTCGACCCACATCTTAATAAAGGTGTCAAAAACAGTTGATGTCTCCACCATTTTACTTCTCTGACACTTAATCTGCTTCAACTTTGGACTGTTTTGGAGTATAAATGCACATTTAGACCCTTGCAATCACTAAAGATTGCCCCCTTCATTTTTTTTTTTACAAACAAAATACCAATAAATCCATCGGCTTCATTTCTTAACAAAACAAAAACAAAACATTAGGGTTAGTTAAAGGAACATCTGTACATTAGAAGGCTATGATAAGACACAAGGGACTCACTTTTCTTTAACAAAGTCTGAGTCCTCTGACTCTGGAAGGACAAATCATTTAAAAGTTTTGGGCACCATGCAAACCTGAAAAGTCAGTAAACACACGCACATCACTCATTCAGGTGTCGAATCGTAAAAAAAACCCCAAAAAACCACAGTGGCCCCGGGAGATATGCTTATTTATTTGCTACATGCCCGGGCTCGAAACCTTGTGTTCTTTAATGCATCTAGCAAATAAATAAGAATATCTTTAAGAGCCACTGCGCATCATCACCACGCAAACCTTAAAAAAGTTGCACGCGTAAGAACACCAAACACCTGTATGTGTATATTTTGATATAGTACGCTACATGAGAGGAATATTCACACACACATCCGGGTGAATCATTATTATTATATACCTGTATTTTGAGTTAGAAGTAGGTAGGGAGGTGATTATGGACGATTCTGTGTGAATTATTTCGTGCTTGTGCTCCAATGTTGGTGACACTATAATGCTTTTTTTTCTTTTTCTTTTCATGAACAAGGAAAGGAGAGCGATGAGTTGGGTGTTATTAACCCTGCCTCCATCCTGCAGTCCGTCCACTCGCAGGCCTCCTCCCGCCCCCTCCTGCCCACTCCGCTCCGCTCATCAATAGGGGAGCCATTTGAATAACGTGTGAGCGCTTGGACTGGAGCCAATCAGCTGTCAGAGCACCGTGATAAATCGCAATGCATTATTGATAATAATAATTACGGTGACATGCGCATTTCTACTCGAGAGAGGGGGTTTAATTTTCCCGAGCCCTGAAGAATTTGCTTGAAGAAGGGGAAGGAAAATTGTTTGCAAACTCTTTTGCTCCCGATGGTTGCACCATGTCGAGGCGTAAGCAAGCCAAACCGCAGCACATCAACTCCGACGAGCCTGCTTCGTTAGGAAATGGTAAGTTGTTTTTTTTTTAACACACGAGATATGAGAGAGCTGCTTACCCAAAAAAAAAAAAAAAAAAACTTTACGCCACGCTGTGTTGAAAACTATCGATGTTTTATCTCAAAAGTTTTGGGGGTGGCTGACTTTTACATTGTTCCTCTCGCACTTTGACCTGTTGCTGAGTTGACCAGGAGGATAAAAAACTTAAGCCCAAACAGTAGGATAGGATACTGTGAGCGACGAGAATTAATTTTCAACAGAATACAGGTGTTGCGCGTCAATCCAAATGTTACACTGTAAACTTTTACGCGTTCTTTCATCAAACGGTGCAGTGACCGAGTCGCATCCTTTTGCTTATTTGTAACCTTTTTCTCTGCTTTTGATGTTGGAATCACTCACAAATCACCAGAATCTTTGACTTGTAGGTTTTGGTGATTAGTAGGGGGAATCTCTTTGATCTTTTTCTAAAATTATACACCGAGTATATCGACACCAGTTTACATTGAAGACCTCAGTGAAAAGTTGCGTGGCAAAAAGACTGCCACGGATGTTAATGGCGTTGATGTTCATTCAGATTTGACCAAAAATGTTTAATTTATCATGACGCATCATTTTTTTTTTTTTTTTTTTTTTTTTTTTTTAACATCACAGTTTCCTATCCAACCTGTTAAACCGCGTTGAGATGCTTATTGTTTCATTTATCAGATGTGTTAAACTTTAATGAATTGTGTAGTATCAAATATAATCTCTATATATGATATTTATATTTGTGTGTGTGTTGATATTTTAGTGTAATTTGTGCACAACTATTCGCCCTCATTCGATGTTTTTAAACAAAGGTGCCCCAAAAAAAACCGTATGAAATGTGACTCTGGAGTAAGCTGACCTAAAGGCAATAAATCCCCCAGTTTAATGCATGACTGTTTCCTTTCGTACATATGTGGAGTAGAGGTGGGGGATGGAGTAGTGGCCTTTTTTTTTTTTTTTGTGGAGACTCTCTGGGTGGGGGGTGCGTTTTTGGTGTTTGCCATATGCAAGCCCCAGCGGACCTCACCTTGTGATTTAGGAAAGTTTGCTGACACGATGTTAAGAGAGACTCAGTTGTGGTTTATTATGAGCGTACATGGCTTCTGAAGATTGAGGTTGAGCGGTTGTTTTATCAAATGCTTAATATTTATGTGCCACACAAGGCCCCCTGAATGTAATGTTTAGCCTGACCTCGTGTCATATAGGCTACCCTTCTAACGGTGATCACATACAGGTCATGCGCCGTCAAGTGGTAAACCAGAGCGTTACCTCCTTATATTTACTTCATAATCAAGTTTTGATATAGTTTATGGTTCAGGAACAAGGTATTCCTAATGTTAACACAGTCTGTACTCTTCTATCAAAGTTAATTGTATTAAGATAATCCTGGAGTAACTGTATGGTGTGAAATGGGGGTGGGCTTAGTTTCTCATAGATCCAAATGTAATGCAGTTTGCCACACTGCTACAATGCCTCCTGGTGAGCAATTAACAAGTCCAACAGTTTCCTTGGGCATATGCAAACAGGTGGTCTACCCCCTTTTCTTTGAGGCATTAGCATTTAACAATACACCCAGTTGTGAAATGGCCTCTTGGTTAGCAGACAAATTAAAATGCACACTTGGAGCACTTAAAGGCTTTCACAAGCTGTGAAACTGCTTAAAGGTATCAACATTGAATCAACCCACCCACCCCACCCCTCCCCCTCCTTCTCAGTTTTCTTTTAAAGCACATCTTCTGAAAAGTAAATGAAGTCAAGTACTTTCCTGCCCTGCTCGGTTGCATAAAAACTGGGAAACAAGTTCAGTTAAAATAGATATATGATTGCTTATTTGCAAGCCTAGATTTCCCATAAGTGAGTTTAACATTGCTCTGGTCAAAAGTTATTCCTACCATGTGCCACCCTTTGAAACTGAGCTGATTTTTAGCAAGTGCTAGGAAGTTTTATTTCAGAAACACTGTAATTTAATGCCAGAGGCTCTTTGTCTCCCTGGACATTGTTCTGGGCAATGTCAAAGGTAGATGATTGCCCTCTGCTGGCCTTGTTTACAATAGCCAAATTAAAGTCCTGAACAGCTCAGTGAAGTGAGTTGCAGTGAGTAGATCTTCTCACTTTAATGATGCAAGGCACACAACTTAAGCCTCAAATAAATATTAATACTTATCACAGTGTGTGAAAGTTTTAATGAGAATGAGTTAACTTTTTGAAAATGGACAGACTATTCAATGGTAGGAACAAAAACATTGTGCATTTGTTAAGTGTAGGAAGGAAATGCCAATCCTTTTTCATGAAAAAAGCATTTTACTCCAACATCTAAAATCCAACTTTTTTGTAGACAAACTGTTCCAATTTATTTTTCTTGAATAATAACTTTGAGTGGATCTTTAGAAAACTATTATTGTATCAATCTTGTTTTAAATTGTCATGGTTGTTAAAAGGCATTCATTTTCATTTCTTTTTTTGTCTCCTTAGGGGTTCTTCGAGATGCTCAAGCTGAGGAATCCGGAAGTGAAGTGAAGAGGTTCAGAATGGACGAGAACAGAGTCTGCAACAAGTGTTGTGCAGAATTCTTTGACGAAGACGAATTTCTTGAGCACGAGAAAAATTGCACTAAGAGTCAGCAGGTGGTCATTATGAAGGATGGAGAAGGCAATGAAGCGTCAGAGGAATATTCACAAGGCTCTCCTGAAGGCCTTACGAGTGACCACGACGACAGCCAGTCCAGCAGCCACTCCTTATCAAACATCAACACAGACCATCATGAAAGACCAGAGGAAGAGCCCAGCATTAATGCAGAGGACTTGGTACAACAGGATCAGGCAGATATGTCTGCTAGCCCTGAGGCTTTCCATCCCTCACATAAAATGCAAAATTCAAATGTCACTCTTGAAGCCATGGCCGACACTAAAGTGGCTGTATCCCAACATTCCTCAAATAATGCTTCCCTAGCCACATCACAGGAGGCCATGCAGACCATTCCCATGATTTTGGAACAGTTGGTGTGCCTTCAGCAACAGCAGCTACATCAAATCCAGCTCACGGAACAGATTCGGATCCAAGTAGCCATGATGACTCCACAGGGTCTCCAGGCATCTGTAGGGGCAGTAATGGACCCCCTGAAAGCCCTTGGTGCACATCTTTCCCAACAGCTGTCCACTGCAGCAGCTCTAATAGGAAAAAGGACCGGCAGTCAGACCCTTTCTCTTGAGGCGATGAAGCAAGGTAAATTACCTCTGCCTGCTGTAATCCCTACCTCTCTGCCTGGAGGCCTGGGTTCAGCAATCTCTAAAACAGACATTTTAAAGGGCATGCCAGATCTCGCCAGCCGTCTACCTGCACTTCTGCCACAATCATCAGGTGTCATGGGTTTCCCTGGCACCTTCAGCAGTATCCAACCAGGAATGGACCCCTCCAAAAAAGTGAAGCCGAAGATGATAACCCAACCACCAGAATCCAAAAATGGGGACTCCTTATTCAAACACAAGTGCAAGTACTGCGGAAAGACCTTTGGCAACGACAGTGCTCTCCAGATTCATTTGCGTTCTCACACCGGTGAGAGGCCCTTCAAGTGTAACATCTGCGGAAACAGATTCACAACCAAAGGAAACCTTAAAGTGCATTTCCAGAGGCATAGAGACAAATATCCTACCATCGGCATGAACCCACATCCTGTGCCAGAACATCTTGATAGTATTCCCACCAGCAGTGGCATTCCCTATGGCATGTCTGTCCCCTTTGATGAGTCAAACGTGACTGAAATGAAGCCCATGATAGGCCATCCAGGTGCTGGTTTCCACCAATCATCCATACCAGGATTGAAAACAACATTTGATGGCTTCGCAGGGGACCCGTTTTCTCAAAGACCCTCCCCATCTGCAAATGATGGCTCCCCTACTGTTTCCTCTAATATGTACGGCCAAGCGACTGGACTGGATCACAATCACAAGGATGCTAAAGAGCTACTTGGTGCCCTGCATCAAATGAATGGCAGTGCCCACCCAGGTGAACAAAGCTCTGGAACTGCAAAACTTCAGCATATGGTGGATTGTCTGGATAAGAGAACCAATGACCCCAATGAGTGCGTCATCTGCCATAGGGTGCTCAGCTGCCAGAGTTCACTGAAAATGCATTATCGCACACACACTGGTGAGAGGCCTTACAAGTGCAAAATCTGTGGCCGTGCGTTCTCCACCAAAGGTAACCTCAAGGCCCATTATGGAGTGCACAGGGCCAACACTCCTCTCAAAATGCAGCACTCGTGTCCCATCTGCCAGAAGAAGTTCACCAATGCTGTGGTTCTTCAGCAGCACATTCGTATGCACATGGGTGGCCAGATCCCCAACACCCCAGTGCCAGAAAACCAATTTGAAGATGCAGAAGCAATGGAGTCGCCACTTCCAGAAGAGGCACCTCTGGAAACCAATGGATTTGAAGCTAGCATGGAGGATCATGAGCCAGAAATTGATCCCCAGACACCAAACCACCTTTCCGATTCCTTGCCGTCAGCCTTGGAGGTACAACCACAGAAGCATGCTGCCCCTGCCACATTTTCGAGCCTTGATGTCTTGAAGAATCTCACATCTGCTCTTGCACTGAAACGACAGAGCAGCACCACATCAGAAAGTGAGGGAACTACCAAAGAGTCCCCTTCAGCTCCTAGGGAACAGGAGTATCAGAATGGCTGCAGCCCTACAGTATCTGACTCCGCTATGTCCCGTAATTCCCCATCCCCAGTAAACACCAACATTACCAGCTGCAAATCTCCCGAGTCTGCTGCTGAGGAATATGCCCGCAATGGGCCAAAACCAGAGCCAGATGGTGGTGTTCACGGTGGCAATGAGTCGGGTGGAGCACTCGACCTCACAGCATCCAGCAGCTTCACTCCCAAATCAATCAAAGAAGAACCCATTATTGCATTCACAAACGGAGACTATGGTGAGTTTTATTCATTCAGAGAAAAGGTATTTGGTACATGCCGTCATGTTGAGTGCTTTGATCTAAATACCCATCCCTTGTTCAAACAGTTCCAAGCAACATGTCCTTCATGAGGATACCATCAAGTCTGGCAAGTCTGGAGATGAAGATCCCTTCAGAGAATCATTTGGGCCCTAATGGTTTGTTCAGCTCTCACATGCCTCAGGGAACAGCCATGCCCTCCTCCATCTCTTCTGCACCGAGACGATCAACCAAGCAGCATGTGTGTCACGTTTGCACCAAGAACTTCTCTTCTGCCAGTGCCTTGCAGATCCATGAGCGTACTCATACTGGGGAGAAGCCTTTTGGCTGCAACATCTGTGGCAGGGCGTTCACCACAAAGGGAAATCTGAAGGTACGTCATTGCTGAAAGTGCCAAATATGTCTTACTATAAATGAGTACTTGGGAAGGAGGTTGTAATAATTGGTGTTTCTTGTGTTTAGGTACATATCGGCACTCACATGTGGAACAACACATCCCGGCGTGGCCAGCGTCTCAGTCTGGATAACCCAATGGCACTGATGGCAATGAGCTCCGAGGCTAAGATGTTGCCAGAGATGATGCAGGCCCCCAAAGAACTGGCTGCTCCTCAAATGAATTTTGACCCCTCCCTGTGGAATCAGTATGCCGCTGCCTTCAGTGGTGGCCTAACCATGAAGACCAATGAAATTTCTGTCATCCAGGGCGGTGGCATCCCGCTCCCTGGCAGCCCTGCCGGTGGGCCTCTTATAGGCTCCACTGGAGGCCTCATGAAGATGGATGGATCCCATTCTGGTTTGCCCGCCTCCATGGCTGAGATGGAGAAAAACAGCTCGGACAGTGTGCCAAAATCGCAGTTCCCACATTTCATGGAGGAGGGTAAAATTGCAGTTAACTAGGCTTTCTAGCCATCCATTTATTGCCGGAACTCAGTTTTTGAATGTCTTCTTTTTTGACTGAGGTACAAACAGAGAAAACCTTGTAGAATTCTGCCTAGATTGTTTGACTTTCCAAGTAACTGCATTGCAGCTCTCCCCTCCTGAATGATTCACAAGTGTTATTTTTGTAGTTGAACATGATATAACTACTGTAGTTGTATTTTATTTCATATAAATATATGCGGGTATTTTTTTTTTTTTTTTTTCCTGTGACTTTTTTTTTGTTTTGTTTTCAGAAGTTTGAATGTATAACTTACTTGAAACTGCTTTAATTCTGACTCTCCCTCCTTGATACTTTGAAGGATTTTGACTAAGAAACGTTCAGGGCATGACTTTTAACGGACATTTGGTCTCTGTTCAGAAATAATAGTTTACTGTCTGTATCTATGACTACTTTCCCTCCCATTGTGTGCCATAGATTTTTACAACATTGTACGTTTTTGTAGAGGTTAATGTCATTTGCATGTCTCATCTTGAAGGGGCGTTTGATCAGGTTCAGAGATTATTCCAGTATCTTGTCTATTAAATCAAGTTTTCAACAACTCTGTAATCAATTTCAGATATTACAGGCTGTAACCCATTCGTGTTACATTGGTAGTAAGATACGAAAGTTAATCGTTCATATATTTTTTTGCTAAGTGCCTAACCCCTAACATACATGTTACATGTGTCTCACTGCACCACAAGGTTAAGACTGTAAGACGAAACATGACGGTATGCTACATGGTAAAACTCGCTAATCAAAGTCACCATATTCCACTTGATCTGTAGTCAAATTCAGTTGGCTGAGGTCCGAGGGCTTTTATATACTTTTATGGGCTCATGCCTGCACTTTATTTCAGGTTGAAGATACATTTTATGATTACATTTCACTGCTTTTTATCCTAGTTGTGGAACAAGGAAAGGGCAAATCAACAATTTTTGTGTACTGACTGTAAGATTTCTTTGACACAACCAACTTACTGGATTGTTTGTCTTTGGTCTAGGTTACTTTGTGAACTTGTAGCATCATTAATTTATTTATAATCCACAAAATGCTTGAGTTTCGGGGGTAAGTTCTACCTCGTTTAGATTTCAGTCGTCCTCCAGACCCCCTACGCTCAACGCAACACTGTACATTTTCCTGATACATTCTTGTATACGTGATAAGATTTGTCATTCTAAAACTGCTGAGTTGAACAGTAATGAATGTATCACTGGACACTTTACACAACTCAGAATGGTCAGAGTACTTTGTTGGCCCCTGCTGTACATTCCTTTATCGATATGCATTTGCCAAGTTGTGCCTTTCTTTAGCAAACCATGTCAAAACTGCTTTCAAGTTGTCTCTACAATTCAAGTAATGTTGAGCCAATTTGGCCTGTTTACAATGTAAATGGTTCTTTTTGTTTTTCAAATGTTTCCTTCACCTCCATGTTTTCTGATTTTGAAAAATAAAATCAAGGTGAGTTTTTCAATATTTTTCCTGTCATTACTTAACCAGAGAGATTATTACAAAATAATTTGAACAGATACCTGACGATTGCTGACAGTAGGTGGGAAATGTATTTGTATTCTGTCCAGCTAGCTACTGAGATTTACCTTTGCTTGGCACCACACATTTCTATGCTAACATAGGCCAGCTTTGACTGCTCATAAAATCCATTATTTACATCAATTCACATTCAGATGACTTGAGTGAGCTATTTTCTTGTCTTCTCATTACCCATCAGAAGCTATTAATCCTCTGCATTTTGCATCCCAAACAAAAATCTATTTGCATCCACGACTTAAGGTTGTTCTCCAATCATTTGTCCACAAACCAATGTTAGGTCAACCATACAGTGGCCTATCCCTTACTATTTTGACATAATGCAATTCTCTGCACATTGTCATAATAGGCCACTTGAACTGGAAGTAAGTATACAGGGAGTAAATGGTAACACAGGAACACAATGACCAGAAACAACAATAGATGTATGATGTTCAAGTTTTGTTGAGGCTGCTTATTTTTCTTTACAAAAACAATTAAATGATCTTTTTAAATTACCAAAGTTGAGGCTTGCATTATGCAAATAATACATTTAACTAGCAGTGTACATTCAGCCATCTCTCCATCAGAAATGAGTTTATTCTCCTGATTATAAAAGTTAATGCAATCTACACTAGCAATGCTGCTTTCTAGGAATATTCGACATTTGTAAATTGCCAAATGTTTGGAACACTTGATTGCAAAATATTGTGTGTTTTTATAAAGTGTTTTTAAAATGTATGTCCACCAACCTAACAACAGATAGCTAATATATCAAAAATGGTTTCAACTTTGCTAATATATGCCAACCCCTTTCTGAGCTGCACACTGTTTATTTGGATTCTATGCAAACACAAGGTTGTGGTCTCCTCATCCCAGTTAACCTTTCCAAAGGTCCAACATGATGTCTTAAAGTAGAACATTACATTAGATTAAATTGTAAACAGTTAAGTAGGCTACGTACAGTACATTTCTACTCCAGCAGAGAAACTAGTACTTTCTAACATCAATCAGGAGGCCTGGTTACCCAAAAACTGCAAATGAAGGCCTATACATCACCAACAATAGAAAAGGCTAATTCAGTGGTTCCCAACCTGTTTTGGCTTGTGACCCCACTTGGACTTAACAAAACTCAGGCGACCCCAGACATCCAAAATGCATACAGCTTTTTGCTTAAATTAATTTGTCCTCAATCATGTAATAATTTTTCTATTGTGTTGCAAGTAAACATTAATGTTAGACCATATTTAGTCTTTTTAGTGTGTATTATTTTGGACAGAGGAAGAAAGGCTGGGATGAGATTTCTGTACAATGGATGACAGACGGACAGAGACTCTGCAAGTTTCTTGATTTGGCATTGTCTCTGGTCCACAGTGTGTTCAACATATTTCGATATACAACAGCCTATATTTTTTATGACCCATTTGGGGTCAGGACCCCAAGGTTGGGAAAGCCTGGACTAATTCAAATGTTAACAACAACTTATATAAATTGATTTGAATTTAAAATAAAGGCTGGTGACACAAAACATTAACCACTCCAACTAAATGTTATTCCACCATTCAACACAACATCAAATATTTATCCAGTCCTGTAAAGATATAAATAAAGACATTTGATAATAGTTTATTAGAGATGGTACAGTGGCTAATGCTAAGCTAAGCCCCCTTGGTGTGGTTGCTGTAGGCTATCCCAGCAGCCCTGCTCTCCTGCTGACTGCTGATCCGTCCTGCGCGAGTGACAGCTGGGAAGCCCCCGCCCAGAAGAACCGCTCCTGCCAGGCTGCGAGCCTACAGCCTCCACCCCGCTACCCAGGAGCTGCAGGAATGACCGACAATATCCCCCTACAACCCGTGAGGCGGCCGAAGAGACAAGACAATAAAAACAAAAATGGGTAAGGGCGTGAAACAGCTCGGAAATACTAACAAAGAGAACCATTTTATTGACGTATTTCGCTCGTTTGCTTCTGTTGATGTCAGCGTAGCCTTTTATGTTTACAGGCGCGCGGCGACATTGTCTCAATATGTAGCTACACTGTCGCGCTTTTTAAAGAGGAAAATAGAAGTGAAGGGTGACAACAACTTATAACAGATGCATACATGCGTACAGACATTGTGTGGCATTTCATTTTCGCGTTTAGCCGAAACAGAGCTGCTTGTTCCGGGGGAGCAGTCGGAACAAGTGCAATGACGCCCATGTCAATATTTGCTCGGTAGTACGGAGCTCAGGCTGTCAAAGAGCTTGAAACCACGTTGAAATGTAGGCCCCGACCCGATAGAAACCGGCGTCCTTATTTCACATTGAGGCTTAATAAATGCTTTGCAGGTTTATTTTTTTTTGTGTCCAGCACCAGACAGGGGGCAGGCCTCGTGAATTCTGATGATGAAGGGCAGAGTCAGTGATGAAATGCAGCCAATAGTCTTTATCAGGCTGATGTCACCTCCCTTTACAAACACAGATGAATCCAGATCTGACATTGCAGGCTGCTGTTGTGCGGAAGTATTGTAGATAGTTGCTCAACATGCGTCAAACATGATGAGCATTATGCATCCAAATTCACCTGTCCACCTCTCATAGCTGCACACCCAGCTGTCAGCTTATTCACCTAGCTAAAGCTAATGCACTTTGACACAACAGCCCTGCATTAATCCCACTTTTATTACAGTTAAAATGATAAGTTAAGGTGCATATTATCACTGGTAGTGTAAATAATGGACAACCCTCTCTGTTTAATGTGATACAGTGCAACAGAAACTAAAATGACATCCTTTAAAACGAGCATTTAGTTGATTCATCACCTCCTGTCAATTAGAAAATGGACATTATAAGTTCATGAATGATATGTTGTTTCAGAACAGTTGTATTATATTGCTTATGTGTACTTAATTTACTTTCAGCTGACGGTAGGATATAACCAAAGCTTTAAAGTCACTCATATGGTGGCTGAGGTTAGGGCTGAAAATGATGACTTTGTGCATTTTTACTGTATCTGTCGACTCTTTCTTGTTTTAGTAATCTAGAAAGGTGTTTCCAAAAAAATGTCCATCATGATTCAGCTCTCTTCAACTGTCCCAGTATGCAGGATGCACAAAGCCCGGGCCCTGAAACGTCATCGGCTAAATGGAGTCCAGCCGTCGTTCATTTGATTAATTATACCTGTGCTTTTCCTACCACTGCCTTCAGTCCTGATCTGTAATAGGATGAACTTTACTGTCTCTGTGGGAGGATCAGAAGAGCAACATAAAGCTTATTTATAAAGTGTTTAGTGTAGTTGATTAGGACTTAGTACTTTCTTTTTATTGATGTTTTCAGATTAAAACAAGAAAACAGATAGAGGGCAATATGAAATTCATGGCTAACATGTTTCATACATTAGTGGAATAAAGCAAATCAGGATTTTTTAATAAGAGCGGGTAACATTTCGACAGTATATGGTCCATTACTTACAGACTTTTATATATTGGTCAGTCTCTCCATGTAGTTTATTTTGTTGACACTTGCAATCCAATCGCCCGTTGATGTTGGGTTTACCTGCTTGCAACCAGAAGGACTTTATGGAGATAATTAGAGATGGGACCGAACCGATCTAATATCGGTATCGGGTCCAATATTGACGTAATTTACATATTGGATATCGGACTGGCGGTGCCGACCAACGTCACAGGTCAAGAAAGATGGTTGGACCCTTTAAACATTCTCAGCGCGTACAGTCTCAATTTGAAGACGTTCAGACTGAACTGTAAGAATTCTCTACAAATCGTCTCCATGACGACGTCCAGACGAGATGGAACAGCTCCTTCAATATGATCAAAAGTACAACTCTTACACTTCACTTTTAAAATGTTTAATTTGAAAAGCTGATGGTTGTTGCTGCTTCCTGTTTGTATGTGAAGCCTGCGCAATGCAATGCAATCTCAGATTTACTACAGCTTTGTGTAGCCTTACACATAATACCAACAACAACTAAACTTTTAGTTATGATAATAAGAATATCGGTATCAGTATCGTAACATTCAGTATGTGTCGGAATCAAATCAGAATTGGGAAAAAATGGATTGTTGCATCTCTGGAGATAATCAGTCACATCGCCTCCACAATGACAAGATGTTTGATCTCCAATTTGACAAAAAAACAGTGAAATAGTAACAAAATGTTTTTTCCACAGCCAACAGTGAAGTCATCAAACTGGTTTTGAGTGTGTACCTACTAGGAAAAAAATACAAAATCAAATTATATTTTAAGAAAGAATGTGAAAAAATGGCCAAACACTCGAGAAGATGGAAGAATTTTAAATTGTTATTATATTTTGTTTATATTGAGTGTTTCATAACTCGCAAAGTACAGTCGTTGAGTTGTTAGTCTGGAGGTCTCTTAGCTCTCAGTCGAATGATCCGGAATGTGATCTCTGGTTGGAGCCAAAGGAGTGGCCACCTGTTTCCTGTTTAAGTTAATATTTATTTTGTAAACCAGATCTTAATGGATCTGTGGCTCTCACTTGTCTGTCCTTGTTGGGTTTGTAGCTTCAAATAGCAACACATTAACAAAGAGATGTGTCAAAGAAATTCATTGAAGATGGAGCCACTACAACGACAGATTCATCATTTTAAGGGATTCCAAATATTTCATCGTAACCTCAGTTTTTCATGCAACTTTCGAGTATTGCCGGTGAGATAGTCCTTATATTTACTTTTCTCACCCTCCTCTTCCTCTCAGGTGTTGTCCGTGGTCGAGATGCTGCGGCATGGGCGACTTCCGTCCCCGCACCGTGTGGCTCGGCCACCCAGAAAAGAGGGAGCAGAGGTACCCCAGGAATGTCATTAACAACCAGAAGTACAACTTCTTCACCTTCCTGCCTGCGGTTAGTATCAGTCAAAGGTCACCCCCCTGACCCTGCTCCCTTTAACCCCCCCCCCCCCTCCCCCCTCCCAATACC